GGCGTTCCCGGGTGCCCCCGCTGCCCACCCCGCGGCGGCCCAGCGGGAAAGGGGCTGAATCCACGGCGAGCAGGCGGAGCCGCGGAAGCTCTTCTGGAGCCAGAGAAATGCAAACTCTGCGTGTTTGAAGCTATTTCCAGAGTCAGTGTCAAACGCAACAATGGCTTGGGCTGGAAGGAAAATGACCGGAAAAAAAAAAAAACCTCAGAAATGCTGAAATAGCTCCTCTGGGTGCTTCCAGAGTGAGGGCTCCCGCGAAGGCGGCGAGGCCACACGGCTTTGCGCTCTGGGGATGGCAACAGGGTCACGCAGGCAGGTGGGCGAGGACCCAGGCGTCCTGCCGCGCTGCCGCTGCATGTCCCTTCCCCTTGGAACGCCAGCCGGACACGCGTGTTGCCAGCCGGACACGCATGTTCCCAGCCGGACACGCGTGTTCCCAGCCAGACACACGTGTTCCCAGCCAGACACACGTGTTCCCAGCCAGACACATGTGCTCCTGGGCAGACACACACACATGGTTCCAGCTGGACATATGTGTTCCCAGCTGGACACATATGTTCCCTGCCAGACACACATGTTCCCAAAAAAACACATGTGCTCCCAGCCAGATACACACATTTCCAGCTGGACATGTGTGCTCCCAGCTGGACACATGTGCTCCCAGCCAGACTTGCACATTCCCAGCCAGACACACATTTCCAGCCAGACATGTGTGTTTCCAGCCAGACATGTGTGCTCCCAGCCAGACACACGTGTTCCCAGCCAGACACACGTGTTCCCAGCCAGACATGTGTGCTCCCAGCCAGACACGTGTTCCCAGCCAGACGTGTGTTCCCAGCCAGACACGTGTTCCCAGCCAGACATGTGTGTTCCCAGCCAGACACACGTGTTCCCAGCCAGACATGTGTGTTCCCAGCTGGGCACACGTGTTCTCAACTAGACACATGTGCTTGCCGCTGTGAAATGCAGAGCAATTTGTCCAGTTGGCCTTTTCTAAGGTTCCTATACAGATTTTCAAGCCTGAGGATGAAAACAAAAAAATTTGATCTGAGATATATTTTGGAACAAAAATGAAACTGGACTCAATCTTAGACAAGAGGGTTTCTTTCCAGTTGCTAATGCTGCGGTAAAATTAATCATTTCGAGCAAAAAGCGATTTTGCTATAAAATACACTCATGGTGAGCTTCTGATTTTTTCTCCCACTAGAGAAAGCCCCCCAAATCCATGCTCCGAATTGCCAGCTGCCACTCGCAACAGCGCAATGGGGCCGCTCGGCGCAAGGATGCAACGGCAGCGCCCGTGCCTCAGTTTCCCCAGCGGTGCCAAGCGATCCGGTTTCGGCCCCGATCGTTTCCGTGGCACGGTGAACTGAGCGCAAGCACCGTGCGCAAGCGCTCCGAGGAGGGAGCAGCGCGTGGGGCTCCGCTCGGCGCCACAACCCCTCCGAGGACGTGGGGGACAAGCACCCCGGCCAGCCCCCGTCCGCCTGCAGAGCCGCGCCGACCCGGCGCTCTGGCAGGGCTCGACGTGCGCTGAGCTTCAGTCCTTTGCAGGGAGTCATCGGGGGGAGGCAGGTGCTTTTTTCCCTCCTGTCTTTACTTTTTTAGCGTGCTCAAGCGCCGGTGACCGGGGGCCTGAGGAGCTCTGTCCTGCTCTGCAGCTAAATCCGGGGGCTCCGGCACTTCTGCCTCACAGCTTGCAAACGGGTTCCCGCAGCAAGGGGGGAGCGCGGCCGAGGAAGCCCAGACAAGGGCTGAGCAGAGCCTGGGAAGGGCAGGATTTGGCACAGGGGAGCCTGTTCCCTCCCATGGGCTGCAATGCCCAGGGCTTATGCATCCAACAAACCCAAGGAGAGACGTTCAGGGTTTGCAAACCACCGCTTGCTGCGGGCGTGTGCCCCAGCAAGCAAGGGGAAAAGCCATTGCAAAGGCGCAGGGAGGCGAGCGAGCACGTTGCCCCAGCGGGGTTCCCTGAAGGGTGCACCCACCTTTGCCCAGGCGTACCGACTTGCTGGACCCATGTCGCCTGCAGCCCTTCCCGAAGGTGGGGCTGTGAGAAAGTCCTGCCCTGCCTGCGCTGCCCCGAAGCCCTCGCCAGGCCAGCACTGCTCCCCCGCAGCGGGCACCGGCCCCCAGCCCCGGCCCCGGGCAGTAGGATCCCCGTGTGCCGAACGAGGACAATAGACCCTCGTGTCCTGACAGGGACAGGGCAGGGGCTGTGTGGTGGCAGGACCCGTCTGACAGCGCTTGGTCAGCCATCGCACGTGCCCCACAGCCAGGGCCCGAGCAATCCTGCCCTGCGCGTTCCTCCCCTCCCCTCTCTTCCTCTGCAGATATTTGCAGCAGGAACACGAAGACGGGCCTGCATGTGGCAGCATGACCAGAAACAGGCGCCTGAAAAAGCAGCCGGAGGAAGTACGTGGTGGGAGAGTTACGGGAAGGGGCTGTGGGCTAACAGCAGCCAAGCAGCTCACAGCAGGGACGGGGATCCTGCTCATCCTGGAGATGGGGATCCTGCTCACAGCAGGGACGGGGATCCTGCTCATCCTGGAGATGGGGATCCTGCTCACAGCAGGGATGGGGATCCTGCTTATCCTGGAGATGGGGATCCTGCTCACCCTGGGGACAGGGATCCTGCTCACCCTGGGGACGGGGATCCTGCTCACACTGGGGACAGGGTTCCTCCTGCTCACACCAGGTGTGTGGATCCTGCTCACATCGGGGATGTGGATGCTGCTAAGATGATGTTGGGGCTCCTGCTTGCACCAGTGACAAGGGCGCCTTTGCACCCAGCCCCAGGGGCTCTGCTCTGGCAGAGCCCTGACAGCTTGTCAGCAGACCTGTGCTTTGAAACCAGCCAGGCCAAAACAGGGCCAAAGACGTCGTCCGGCCATTATCTTCCTTGCGCTCCCAACTGGGAACCTGGTGGGATGGAGAAAGATACCCTGAATTAGGAAATACGGGCAACAGCAACAGCTTGGCTTCAGGTTTATGGCTGCTGAAGAAGACAAGAGGTGACAAAGGATCCCCCAGAGAAGCTGCTGGCTCCTGAGGGGTATGAAAGGTCTGTTTAAAACTCATTTTTCCATTGGCAGTCAAGCAGAAGTGGAGAGGCAGTGCGGACTAGGCAGCCAACCCCGTGCCTTTTGTTTCACACCAGTGGCAGGATGTGCAGAGGCTGTGGTGCTTGTGAGGATGTGGGAGCATGTGCAAGCAGAAAGGTTCATGTTTGCAGCAATTTTTTCCTGCCCAAGGCTTCACTTTGAGTTTTGTTGCAATCATTTCCTGCACCCTATGGCTGTGTCCCACAGCTGTGGCACGGGGCTCCCCACCACCCAGTGCCAGCAGCACCCAGTGGCTGTGGTTTGGCCCTTGCACATCTCACGTTGCACAACCGACTGTGAGGGAAATGATCCTGAGGAGACCGAGGAGCTCTTGTCTGGAGGACAAGGGGCTGCAGCTGGGGGGAGACCTGGGGAGCGGCCAAGCACATCGGGCAGTAGAACAGGCTGCAGCCCAGAGCCAGGCAGGGGGGTTTGCTCCTGAAATAGCTCCTCCGGGGTGCGGAGAGGGGAAATATGGGTGAGTGCATCAGTGTCACTGAGGGCATGAGCTGCCACTCATGAGCCAGCAAAAGCCCCAGCTGCCAAGTTCCCTTTTGAGATATTTCAGGCGTTCTCCCTCACCACATGCAGAAAGGTCCATGACGGAAGCAGCTTGTGAGGCTCAGCTCCACGTCTAGGGATGGCAGCGGAGGGGCAAGACCTTTACGAGAGCCTGAAGATTAAATACCCTCGTAGTTTCTCTGTAGGTAAGCCCTGCTGATGGTGGGTCCCTCCGCCGGGGCTGGGTTGGGTGGGCGAGTGCCGGCAGCGGGGCTCGGCCTTCCCTGTCCTGAATCGACGGCGCTGCCGGGCGCTCGATGGCATGGCT